TTTAAAAAATAAAAAATAATAAGATTTGTCAATGATCCTGTGGTCTAGTGGCATTAAGTGATATTTTCATATACGAGGTCATAAGTTCGAACCTTAGTGGGGTTGTGAGGTGGCTACACATCTATTGAATGTTGCTAACAAACAATTATTTTTTTTCCAAGGCCTCTGAGAAGAAAATACAATTTGTACTCTCAACTCTTACTCCAATTTTTTACTCTAACTTACAAGTTTTTTAATATGGAAAGGGTTCAGGTGCAGGAATGGTTTCTCGTGCGGTTGTGCGGTAGGACGCACGTTAAGCATTAAAATGGCGCACCTTAAGTACACAAATTATCACGCACCTTAAACACACAAACAAAGCACCTAAGAACACAAATCACTTACCTTAAGTACATAAACTACGCACATAAAGCACAAAACAAAGCACATTAAGCACAAAACCCACGCATTTCAAGCACAAATCTCACACACATTAAGTACAAAACCCAAGCACCTTAAGCACAAACTCCCGCACATTAAGCACAAAACTCACGCACCTTAAGCACAAAACCCACGCACTTTAAGTTTTAACAACTACCCACATTAAGAACAAAACTAACGCACCTTAAGCACAAACTCACGCACATTAAGCACAAAACTCACGCACCTTAAGCACAAATCTCACGCACCTAAAGCACAAAACTCACGCAACTTAAATTTGACTTAGATGCAAAAATAACCAAATTGCCACCGTATTTTTTAAAAAGTTTGTTAATCTTGGACCTTGATTCTGATAATGCCTTCACAGTCGTAGATTCGTGGGACCAAAAATACAAAAAACTCCTATCCAGTATATGAATTGTGTATTTTGACCCGAGTCCGTCATAAATATACGATTTTTTAAAAATTTTGTTATTTAATCTTTTAAATGCTATGCAATGTAATTTTTTATGTAATAAATATAATTTTAATAACATATTATAATAATTAAACTTTTAGAAATATAAATTAATTTAAATGTTGACATGTTTAATTTAATATGAAAATTTAATTAAATTAGACTTTAGAATTGACAAGTTGTCATATATAGCTAATGCAGTTTTTTTTTTTTTTGAATGCATATAGCTAATGCAGTTTAGTTTCATTAACTGCAGTTTAGTTTCATTAACTACAGTTTAGAATTGACATTTCGATATAATTGCAATTTCATTACACTATATACACTCAAATATGTGAAATGTTATTTAGTTTCATTTTATATACACTGCAGTTTCATTTCAACACAAGTACAGTATCATTTTGATATAACTACAGTTTCGTTGAGCAACATACACTCAAATATGTGAAATTGTTATTCAGTTTCATTTTGTATACACTGTAGTTTCATTTCAACACAACTATAGTTTCATTTCAATTCAATTGCAGTTTCATTTGATTATATAAAAATAAAACGTGAGGCAATGTCCGTTTAGATACACTGTAATTTCAGTTAGTAATTAACACACAAAAATGCGTGCTCTATTAAACTGTAACGGCTGCCGTTTCTTTACTTAAAGAAACGACAGTGTATTACGACCACGACCCACAATGCATTGTGGACCACGGTCCACAGTATAATTGCTGACCATCCATAAGTTGTTATACCATGGACCATGGTCCATCGACAGATTATTGCGTGGACCATGAATACAAAATACATTTTTAATAAACTAAAAGTACATTATTTTTGTATTGAATGTATATTATTTAATAGTATATAAAAATAATGTACTTTACGTACTTAAATAATGTAATTTCAAATAATGTACTTTATGTGAATATATAATGTACTTTTAATATATTAAAAATGTAATTTTTATTTATGGTCAATACAGTTGTATGGACCATGGTCCATGTAATAATATTTGTCGTCCACCATACAAGGTGGATCCTGGTCCAAAATTCTGTATTTTAAGTATTGGAATTGTGAAATTTTAAAATATAAATTGTGTTTCTAAGTTTTAGAAATTTGTGAATACAATACATTGTAATTAAAAATTGTGAATATTTAAAAGTGAATTGTGAATATTAAATAGTATGTAAATTGTGTATCATTAGACCCGAGTCCACAGAATAATTTGTCGTCATCCATCCAGTGGCGGATCCAGAAATTTTGTTCAGTGTGGGCGAAACGTTAAAACAAAAGGTATAACTTAAAAAAAATGAAACAATTAAAAAGTTAGCCATAAATATTGGTAGATATGAACGAAAAATAAATAAAATATGAAACACAATTAATTTGATACAATAATTCTAATGTAAAACACATTATAAATTACACATTTTATTATTAATAAAAAACACATTATAAATTATATATATAAATTATACATCTTATTATTAATGAACAACACATTATAAAAGTTTATACATATATTTTGAAAGCCTAACGTGGTGTTGGAGGACTTGAAGCCATTATTTTATTATTCAAGTAAAATCCAAACATTTGCAATTTGAGATTCGAACCATTGACCTTCCCCAAACAAAGGAGCATGCTCTACCATCTAAGCTAACTAATACTTTGTTAACATTACCTGTTTTATTTTACTTATACGATACCTTGTCCTATATATACATACATATATACATACAAGGGTTATATAGGGGTGGGGTGGAGTGAGTGGGGCCAGCTGCCCCCACTGTAGGTCCGTCTCTGCATCCATCACTTCTCTACCTTTAATAAGATCGCGACATGTGAAGGAAATAAAATTTCGTTCAAGTACACTTGACATTTTCCTCTAACATTAATAATGAAATGATAAAGCTGAAAATTAAGCTAGAGAGAATTTCCTAAAGAGAATATAGGACTCAATGAGATATTACTCAACCAAATAAAATTTTGTTTGAAGACTCACTGCAAAAATTAGGACATCTAATGAAAATAAAATAAAATTGTGTCACTCTATAATTTCATCATAAATAATAGATTTTTTCTGAAAAAAATAATTGATTGACACTATTGCACGTGATAAATAAATGGGATGATAATTGTAATGCTTTACTACTTGTTACTATTAAATTGTCATTATTGACAGTCATAGTTTAGAAGAATAAGTCTATATTGTGGGAGGGGGTGAAGGGGTGAATAGAGTGTCGGTCTCAAATGGTGTTCTAATAAGTCTGTATGGGGGAGGAGAGGGGGAATAGACTTGTTACCTTTAATTTTTTTTACAAATAAGTAATTTTGTAAATATGAGTTTTAATGCAGCGAAAATAATGTTATACCCCTTTTAATTATGTGGCATACTCATCTTTGTTTACAAAATTTGTTGTGATGAAAGAAATGTTGGGTAAATAAGGTGGAAAAATCACAAAATAATAATCCTACGGAAAGATTATTATTATATGGGAAAACAGGAAAAATTGGGAACGAAAAGGTGGAATATTTGGGTAGAGGTTAACACGAGTTTGAACAAATTGTTCTTTTCCTTAAAATATCACAAGTGCTAAGAGCGTTGTAGCCTAGGTTTCCCAGGATAAAACGTGCTACGATTCTTTGTTTAAGCACCCAAACAAAGAACCCGGCAAACAAAACAAAGTGAGAACACAGTTGGCTAAAGAAGAGAGTAGAAACAGAGTGTTTGGAAGCTAAAACGTATTGGAATTCCTTTGTTTCTTGTTCTGTGTAAAATGCTACTACTCTACCTCTCTTTATATAGAGTTGTTGGAGTGATAGCATTCAACATGACCATTAAATTGGTATTAAAACCAATTGTGTAACACCTATAACAGCCACCCACTAATTAGGATTAAACTTAGATTTAAAACAATATTAATTCCGTAACAGATGAGTTTAATCTTCACAACTGGACACGAAAGTACAAGGTTCGGCATTCAGGCTGAACTTTCGGATTCCAGACCGTTGGGGTGCAGGTTCGCTGTTCAGGACACGAGAGTAGTTCAAGTGACTAGTTCAGGGGGTGCAGGTTCGCTGTTCAGGACATGAGAGTAGTGTTTCGGACGACATTCGTGCCCGGCGCACAGGAGCTCGGGCTTGAATCAAGCCTTTCCGATCTTGTTTCTTGTTGGAATTGGAATTTGATTTGCACCCCCCCCCCCCCCCCCGCACGAGAGAGCCTCTATGCTATACAATTCTACAAGCTCCAAAAGAGCTCTTGTATAAAAGGAAGGGGGGGGGGGGGGGGGGGGGGGTCAAATCCTCTTTCCAAACCAATGTGGGACAAAAGCTCACTTTTTCCCTTCATTTTCCAACTCAAATGGGTCTACTTTGAGAATCAATATCTCATTCACCCATTATCCGTTTTGAGCGTACAATATATCAATCTCTTCGTCTCACTACGAAGAACCCGAATCCACTTAGATCCAACTCAAATCAGAAGTGGACCACACTGATAATTGTACCACAAAATAGCCACTTTATGCCATTTTAAGCTATTTTTTCCAACAAGATAAAACAAGGCAATAAGTAAATGTGATATCTAAAGTCAGACAAGGACTTGTATAGTGATTCAACCAATTTGTTCTAATTCTCTCCTACTAAAATACCTTTGGCGAGGGTTGTGCTAGTACTTGCACAAAGTGGGAGAATATAAGATTTTCCCTAATAATATATATTATATATTATATATTAGGGCCTTAATTAAGTGGTGCAAGTTGATTAGGCTTATTAAGCGGTCTAGTTGGATTGAATAACTAGAAGTTGTTATTCAACCAGACTCTGTGCCTAATATGAACCTAGATCGATGGGCTTCAGGATATTCATTATATAGCACATTCAGTTACGGTACTCATACTGCTTAGTAGACACCAATACGGCATCTAGGGTTCTAAGTCAAGTATGGGACAAATATGGCTAACGGTCTATCGTTCAAGAGGCAACACATCAAGAACATCAACTGTGGCTGGAGATCAACACGACTATCGCTTCCGCTTATACGAGGTCAGATATCTCGTATTATTATTCAGTATAGTTAGATTATTTATGTCTAATAGGTGGTATAGGAAGAGAGATATGATGACAGAGAGAGGAGTGTTGTTTGAAGGTTTGTTCAAGAAATGCGGACTGTTGTCTGGTAAGTCTCGGATTTTTCCTGCCCAAACCGCTACCATTAATCTCATCTTCATCACTGCGTACAGAGTTATAGTTAGAATAACCTCCTCTCTCTCTCATCATATCTCTCTTCCTATACCACCATCTCACATTTCTGCCCATCGCCGCCGGAAAACAAGGCGCACCACTGGTTGATCCCCTCCTCTTTTCGCCCAGTAAATTAGAAAAGAATCCCGCCTCAGAACCCATTGAGTGTATGTTACAATTCTGGGATAGCTATGGAAAATGAGGCTGGCCGGCGGCATAGGGAAGCGTCGGCGGATTGATAATCTCTAATGCTGCCACTACGTGATAAAAATAATCTAATCTCCCCTGGTTCAAATCCTGAGCCAACCATCTTGTTGTCCTATGAACAACTGATGTCAAGAAGCTGCTAAGGTAACTAGACCCTGCTAGCCCCACAAACAACAATGAAGTTGCAATGCTCCTCATGTTTTTCGGGCATTGTCTGTAGAAAAACTCGTTTTCGCCTATCACCGCAAAAGCCTTTGACAGCCCCGACAGGGCCATCTGAGGAATCAGCCACAGCGTAGACATGGAAGAAACCTCGTCCTCGGCTTTCATTCCTACAGCTAAGGTTTTTCTTATGGTTTCAACTATGGCGGATGCTACCATGGTGATCACTGACAGGAACATCCCGATTCCCATTTTCTAGAGAAACATCCCGACTTCATAAGATACAAAATTCATATTCACAATATACCGAATTTATGTTCATAATACACATACACATAAACACAATATATGTGTGTGATACCCTGGTCCACGATATAAATTGCCAATTTTGGATAACTGAAAAATTGTAATCCCGTCTCAGAGGAATATTAGAGTTTGGATTAATGGTGCGGGGTCCACATGAAACGATTACGCCACAATTCATCAGATTGTTTAAGGAGAAATACCTTCTAGCTTTTTTGAGCGGTGGGAACCCACTTGTTATTTCACGGCAAATTTTGCTGGACCCAGGTCCAAAACGGACGCCGTCTGAATTTTAAAAAAATATATAATAAAATTGTTTCCTTCCTTGCCATTAACTTGCCGTTTGTCTTCAGAATTCGTTCCTCTACATTCACAACTTTTGAATTCTATATTCACAATTTTATAACTCCATATTATCAATTTTAGAACTGAATATTGACAATTTTAGCTCTCAATATACAAAATTACAGAACTCAATATTCACAATTGTAGAACTCTATATTCATAAGTTTTGAACTCTATATTCACAATTTCTTAACTCTACATTCACAATTACAGAACTCTATATTCATAGTTTTATAACTCTATATTCACAATTTCATAACTCTATATCCACAATTAAAGAACTCTATATTCACAATTACAGAACTTAATATTCACTCACTAAGTTGTTGTTAATAATTTTAAAAAAAATCATTGACTGTGGAAATACTGCCACTAACAGCACCGTTATTTTCACACGCGCAAACTGCGGCGTTTTGGACCTGGGTCCACTCACGGATCCATGGCATAACGCTCCTTATTTCACTCGACAATTGCGGAAAATTGGTTCATACTAATGCACTACACATATCTTGACAAGGAGAGATGATCTTGCATTCAGTAGGGTACGGTGTTTGTTCGTAGGGGATATAATATCTTCCCTTTATTAAAAACGGAGCTGACGAGAATGACTTTGGGGGCTAATCCTGTGATTGTTGATATTAAGGAGAGGATAAGAAATTTGGTTGGACAACCAAAAATTTAATGATTGGAGAAATAACATTAACAAGAAGATAGATGATTCAGTACATACTTTTATCACGAATCCTTTCAGCTAGTTACGATGAGAATGTATGTGAGAGTGTTGTATTCGATAATGATGTCTGGGAATACAGAAAACCAATATAAAGACAGAATGAGAGTTTTAGTCTAATACTAATAATATAGTCCTAATACTCCCCCTCAAGCACAAGGTTGGGTAGCCACAACATTGAGCTTGTCACGGAGAGAATTAAAACGAAAGGATGAAAGAGACTTAGTAAAAATATCCGCTAGCTAATCCTTGATTGAGATAAAGTGAACCTGCAACTCCTTTTTAGCTACTTTATCGCGAACAAAATGATTGTCAATCTCAATGTGCTTCTTGCGGGCATGAAACACTGGATTGGCACATAAGAAAGTAGCTCCCAAATTGTCACACCATAGTCGAGGCGGAGATGTAGGAGGAACGCCAATATTGTTCAATAGGGAAACGAACCTGCAACTCCTTTTTAGCTACTTTATGGCGAACAAAATGATAGTCAATTTCAATGTGCTTCGTGCGGGCATGAAGCACTGGATTGGCACATAAGTAAGTAGCTCCCAAATTGTCACACCATAGTCGAGGCGGAGATGTAGGAGGAACGCTAATCTCGTTCAACAGGGAAACGAGCCAAGTCACTTCTGCAGAGACATCAGCCAGTCCCTTGTACTCTGCCTCAGTTGAGGAACGTGCCACAATTCGTTGCTTCCGACATACCCAAGATATAAGATTGCTGCCCAAGAATGCAGCGAATCCACTAGTAGACTTGCGATCATCCGGATCACCAGCCCAATCCGAATCAGAATAAGCATGGATATCAACAGAAGAAGACCGAGAAATCCGAATGCCGAGATTCAGAGTACCTAGACATACCGCAGAACTCTCTTAAGAGAAGCCTAGTCCGCAGTGGTTGGGAGCATGCATGTGCTGACACAGAATGTTAACAACATAAGAAAAATCAGGTCGAGTTACCACAAGATATTGAAGAGCACCTGCAAGGCTTTTGTATTGTGTGGATCAGCATAGGGGACTACCGGATCGGCATAACTTTCGCAGATGATACCAGCGTGGCAATTGGCTTATAGTCCACCATACCAGCACATTTGAGAATCTCCTTCATGTATCGCTGTTGTGACAAGAGCATACCGCCAGATAACGGAACTGTTTCAATACCCAAAAAGAAAGAAGGCACACCCATATCACGAACTTTGAACTCAAGGGCTAATTTATCAATAAAAGCAGTAACACGATCTGAGTCAGAACCCATAACCAAAATGTCATCCACATACACCAAGAAATAAAGACGAATGTTGTCACGTGAATAAATGAAAAGAGACACATCCGTCTTTGAGGGCGAGAAGCCCACAGAGACAAGAAAATTATGCAACCGTGTGAACCAGGTACGCTGTGTCTGTTTATGACCGTACAACGATTTCTGGAGTAGACACACATGATCAGTCAATGACTTGTCCTCATAACCAGGTGGCTGACGCATGTAAACAGTCTCAGCTAGCTTACCATTCAGAAAGGCGTTGTGAATATCCAACTGCCGTATGGTCCACCCACGTTATACCGCTAAGGAAAGAATAATGCGTACCGTAGTCGGTTTAACCACAGGATGGAAAGTTTCAAAAAAGTCTTCCCCAGCAACCTGATTAAAACCTTTTGCAACCAGCCGAGCTTTATAACGCTCAACGGAACCATCAGCCTTTCTCTTGGTTCTGAAAACCCACTTACAACCAACGACAATCATACCTGGACGGAATGGAACAAGCCGCCATGTATTAGTGTGTATAGCAAGGCATTAAATTCCAAGTCCATTGCATCATGCCACTTAGGGAACTTGACCGCTTGAGAGTAACAAGTGGGTTCAGCAGTAGCTGTAGTACCAGCGCGACATGTTCATAAGGCTCCATACTCCGTGTGGCCATGACGTGCGAACGGGGTCGCGAAGCCTCCCAACAACTATGACAACCGGGCCGTCCCCGCTGACGGACTGCCTAGTCCGAAACAGTCCGCTCAGTTGATGCGGACCGTTCAGGCGAAGCAGCTGGAGCGGGATCACTGTCGGCAGTGCGGTCGGCGTCTGGGAAGGCAGCAGCCGGCCTCGGACTAGGCACCACGGGGGCAAATGCCCACGGTTCCGGAGGGGGATGTAGCAACCTGCGGCACAACACGAGTAACAAATGGAAAAACAGTCTCATCAAACCGCACATGGTGACATATAAAGACTTTGTTAGTGTTAGTGTCCAAACAATGATAGTCACGAAAAGACAGAGGGTAACCCAGAAAGACACAAGGAGAGGAATGAAACTGAAGTTTATTACGATTGTATGGACGTAAGACAGGAAAGCATAAGCACCTAAACACTCGCAAGTAAGAATAGGATGGGGGAGACCGATGCAAACGAAAGTGAAAGGACTCATTATACAAGACACGAGTAGGAATCTTATTTATTAAATAGACAGCGGTTTCAAACGCGTAGTCCCAAAAACGAGATGCGACAGACGCTTGAGCCATTAAAGCCAGTCCGGTCTCAACAACACGACGATGCCTACGTTCTACCCGACCATTCTGCTCGTGAGTATACGCACAAGATTGCCTGTGACGAATACCCAACGAAGCAAGAGTGACGCCAAGCTTTTTATACTCTCCCCCTAAATCAGACTGAAAAGAAATAATCTTGCGAGAAAAAGAACGTTCAACAAGTGACCGAAACTTATCAACTGTGGCATATAATTCAGACTTAGCACGCATTGGATAATACCACATATAATGTGTGTAATCATCCACAAACGACACAAAATATTTAAAGCCATTTGCAGAAAGTAATGGCGCAGGGCCCCAAATATCTGAATATATTAATTCCAAAGGTTGCATACTAATAGTCTCAACACGAGACAAAGGAAAACGAGAAGATTTTCCCAATTGACAAGATGAACATACATTGGGAAGATCACTAGAATTAAATTTGCTAACAAATGATGACGTTAGAATTTTACGTAAGACCTTAGAATGAGGATGCCCCAACCGCATGTGCCAAACGTAAGAGGATCGCGCAGCAACAAACGCAACAGGAGCTGAAGAAGACGCAAGTCATGTGTAGAAACCCCCAGACACATGTCCCTTTAAAAGAACCTTCTTGGTCAAAATGTCCTTCACATAGAAACAAAGAGGGTGAAATTCAAAGAAAACATTATTATCCTTCGCAAAACATTGAACAGATAATAAAGAAGAAGAGAGACCAGGGACATGCAA